ATTCTCTTTTTTGAAAGGAAATCTAATATGCAGTTCTGGGTTTTGATTGCTTTGTTTATCTTTAAGTCCTGACATCCAAGGAATCTCAGAGAAGCCCTGGACCGGGACCCCACCTGGCTAGCCAGCAACCAGGCTTCCTGAGCCCACACAGTTCCAGGGCCCAGGACTCAGGCACTGCAGCGGAGGGAGACGAGCTTTTCCTCGAAGCTCACAGCCACCCACAGCAGAGCTCACTGAACCCCAAGGCCAGGACCATGAGAATTCCAAACACTTCGCCCCTCCTCCACCCGCCAGTTCTGGTGCTCAGGTGATGGGAAGGTCATCCTAATTAAAGCCACGTGGTGGGGGTTCAGCTGTGGAAAATTACTGGCTCCTTTCTCCTTCCTCCCACCTCCTCTTTCTCTCCTTAGACACACACATGCAACTTTCTCTCCCTTTATTTAAGCAAACCACTCTCTCCATGATTAAGTACAGCCCCTTCTTATCTAAATAGTCCACAGATGTATAAAGACACAGGCGCTTTCTACTCCTATTTGGAGCTTGTTCTGGGACCCATCTTCTCCAAACCTACAAAAAGCAGCATTCGTCGGCCTTCGCTGACAGAATTCCTAACGCCTGGTCCCCCAGTAAATCAGCCCTGCTCGGCAGGCTGTCCTCAACTTATCAGAGGTGGGATTTCTCCTCCAAATACTTCAGTCTTCCCCCCTTTTCTTGGCCTCTCCCATAACCTGAGATTGAAACTGCACAGATGTGAACAAATGGAACATGAAAAGCTCCAATTCTGCTGTCAGATTCTGGTATTACTTTAGCAGTAGAGGTAAGCAGCCCCAGTCAGTTAACGCCAACAACCCCTGGTGGTCCTGGGCTGGGGGCTGGGGAAGGTCGGTAAAGGGCAGAGGCTGGATTGCTAATACTTTGCTGAGGAAGAAAAAAAGAAAAGCATCTGTGAGTTTCTGGAATAAGTGGAGTCTAAGGAAAAAGAACCCTCAAGGCCCGGGACAAAAGTGAAATTTAAGGAATGGGTTGAGAGGATTAGCCCCCAGCTTTGGCTTTCTAATCATGACTTTCCCACGGTTTTACGTTGCTTTCCAACCAAAGTATGGTTAATATTTTGAGTCCTGAGGAGATAGGCTCTACACGGGGATCCCAGAGATGGCAATATGACAGCACGGAGCAAGGACGCTACTGAGCCCTGGCAGCCCTCCCCACTCCCCTTAGAGCCTCACTCCTCCAAGTGTGCTCTGTGGACCAGCCTCTCCCCTCACGGGGACCCATCAGAAGTGCAGAACTCCAGCCCCACCTCAGACCTACCCACTCAGAATCTGCGTCTCACCACGGTCTCCAGGTGACTTGTATGCATATTAAAGTTTGAGAAGCACTCCTTGGAGAGCCGGATGTACCCAGCTGTGAAGGAACGAGTCACACTCATTCCCTCCCTGGTGTATCTAACTTACGTCTTCTCTTAATTAATACCTGGTAAGAATAACTCACAGAACTTCAGAAAGAGCTGCAGCAATACGAACTGTGTAGGTAGGGGAAAGGGAGAGACCAAAATAATCTCCCGCCTCTCATCCCTGAGCCACTGATGCTCTACTGGAATGTTTTGCAAAGTAAGATCCAGTGGACAGCTGGTATCTGGAAAACCTGGACCGCTTGTTCAAAATTCAGATTCTAGGGCCCCACGGCAAACCTTCCGAATCCGAATTTCCAGGGGTGGAAGCCAGAAACTGCACGTTAGCAAGCAACCCGCGGTGATAGAAGCTCAAGTTTAAGAATGATTCTCCCGGGGCGGCCCCGTGGCTTAGTGGTTAAGTGCACGCGATCCGCTGCTGGCGGCCCGGGTTCGGATCCCGGGCGCACACCAACGCACCACTTGTCCGGCCATACTGAGGCCGCGTCCCACATACAGCAACTAGCAGGATGTGCAGTTATGACATACAACTATCTACTGGGGCTTTGTGGGGCGGGGGGAAGTTTAAAAAAAAAGAATGATTCTCCCTATTTCCTCTGATTACTACGGGATGACTTGTACAGATTTCTCTTTAGGAGGGAAAGAGAATTGCTGGCACTTCTGGACCCACTGTGGGGAGATGGCCTTCTTCTAAGACCAAGCTAACTTGGATAACATGTGGCCCTCATCTCTTTCTGCCCTGGGTAGGAGAGCATCTGTATAATTCCTCGAAGAGGTGTGGGTGCTACAGAGCTTGAGGGCAAGGCTGCTGTTCCTGGTGCTGCCAGCATCTCTTAGGCACAAGGCTCAAGCAGTTCTGGGGCACCCTGACCCTAGGGCACCCCAAACTCCAGGGTGACTCCAGCAGCTGAAGCTGAGATGCCTTTGCACACACTTCATCATCTTTTCACTGATTTGTTTCTAAAAAATTCAAAACAGCAATGGGAAATTATGGGTCATGGTGGTGGGGCTTCAGTGGGATGACAATGACATCCACATCCAGCCTAAAAGAGATATTCCTTCCTATTAACCACAAGGGACTAAAAGGAAACATCAGTATTTTCCCTGGCTGGGCGAGCACATCACTGGTTCACCAGTCAGGTACAAGTATGGGAAAATCTTCCCATACTGGAGCATGACTTGAATGGGAATGTTTACACGTCCATGCCTGAAAAATGGTATCTCTGTGCTTAGGTGTGGTTTGGGGTGATTTAGGAATATTTTCTCACTTCTGGGTAAAATTACCAGTTGTCTGAGGTTTCGAGGTGCCTTCTCCATCAGGGAACGACATCAACTGAAGCTGTCACTGTAATTGCTTACAGACAGAGAAGTCACACTGAAGAATTCCTTAGGCAAGAAGCATGTAGCCTAATATGAAACAGCCTGGGCTTGGCAAGTGCCACACTCTGGGGCCAAAGGGAAGTTCAGTGGTCATTCAGACGTCGTTCCCACACAACTAGGACCTGGGAGCCCCGGGTTCTAGTTCCAGCAATGCCAGTGACCTGAGAGCCCCAAACTCCTCGGGAAATCCCAGCCATCTGACCTCTTAGCTTCTCCATCTGTAAACTAAAGGGGCAAACCTGGTCTCCTCTAGGGTCTCATGTGGGTCTAAGACGCCAGGTACCAGAGAGTTTTCAAATCTTAGTTGGTAATTTTAACATTGAATTGGCCAGAGGGGAAAGAACATCTGAAACCAAAAACACGGAAAACAAACACAGGCAGAGCTGAAAAATACATTCTTGTAGAGCAAGTATTTAACCTTCTCTGTGATCTGAGTCGCACAGAGCCAGGAGAACCACTTCTGGAAGTTATTCACGGGAGCAGATGGTAAATGTGGGATGGGAGGGAGGGCAGCCTGCGGGGCCTCACAGGTGCTCCTCCGGCCCACCCGGCCCAGCTACATTTGAAAGCTATTACTAAACTGCGACCAGAAAACATCCCTGAAAAAATACAAGAGGTGGGCATGTGTGCAGTGGAAGAGGGTGAATGGTGTGTCATTGGGGAGAAAAAGTCACAACTCACATGGTCATTGATTACTTGAGTGATTTTAGTCAAGTGAATATTGATACATGGCAGGAAAAGCATGAAAATAAAATGAACACATATGGGAATTACTATTAACATAAGTGATAACATCAAAACATCTGGTAAAATGCAGTTAAAAAAAAACAAATGGAATGTAAAACATTTTCACAGTATTCAAAGCTTTTGTAAAAGATTTAGACTCTAAAAGAGGAGGGCTACAAGGAACTAGAGGAAACAGGAATTTCGTCTGTGTCCTATGCATCTGCTGCTGACAGGTCAGAAGGGCCAGTACATTATCCCACGGGAGTTACCTAAGGTGCGCTTCTAGACCAGATCCTCTGAGCCCACCCCATCTGTGGAGCTCCCACAGAGCAACTGGTCACTTGGAGGCTGAGAAGAAGACCGATTCTAGGTGTGGGCAGTGGGGTTTCTGGAATTTACGGATCCAGGGGAAAACTGGAGCTCTGACTGGATTCTGCCTCAGGAAGACCTTGGTGCTAATTCACCGGCGCCAAAAGCCAAGTGTTACACAGGATATTCTAAAAATAAAGCGTTCTCCGAGTTCTCGCCTCCCTTGCTATCTTCTAAGATAACGACTAATGCCCTTCAAAGATTTAGCTGAGTTCTGCCAATGACCTCACAGGATTCTACCCAGAATGATTATTCTAAATCTTTACATATACGACTTTTGCACTAGCGATAATTACCAAATCACACACAGACCTCCTCTTTTGGAAACCAATGACCAAGCCAATGAGTCTGCACATTGGTTTTGTGATATCCTTTGTTAAGAAAAACAAAGGTTTGTCATAAAAACGCAGCTTTGGGCCCATAGGCTCCTTTTGTGCCTAAAATTGCTGGGGTGTTGTAGACAAAGCCGGTGGGTGCCTCAAGTCCACTGTGAAACTCCAAGTCCGGGAACTCGGTGGGTGGGGTAAAACTGCAGTTGCAGCTCACATTTCCAATTTATTTTGAACTCTTTCTGAAAATGTCACTTCTTCCCTGAGAATTCCCATTTAGAGAGCTACACAGCACAGCCACCTCTTCTTCCATAATCTTGCTGCAGTAACTGCTAAAACCCCCACTGGAACTCCTCTCCGAAGGCCCCTGACTGGGACAGCGGGCCCCGTTGCAGGACGCGCTCTGTCAAATGAGCAGATACATACGAGCACTGAACTCTTGAGTGAATCCACCAAAACTAAGACCCAGATCCAGGCACTCGTGAAATCTCAGTTGACGATATGAAAGTAGAATATTTCTAATAAACTTATATACACATTTTTTAAAAATCATCCAAAATTACAGGCAAATCACTTAAGATCCCGGACACTTTATGATTAAAGGTCAGAGAGAACCAAAAAAAGTGTTAAAATGATGGGATCACCAATTGTGAGAGGTTAATTATATCAACAGAACCCTCAGATAGGTAAAGAAGTTGGCAGACTGATTTTCAGATTGGAGTCCTCAGAAGTTAACAGAATCTTCCACTGTTTCTGTGTCAGGCCAGGGCCAGAGCTGACACTTCCCAGCCTCACTGCGGCATCCGGACTGGGTATAAACATTCGCCCAGAGGGACAGTCACTAAAGTCCTCAAGAAGTTACAGAGAATTAAGAATCAGGCTCAGGAAAGAAATTAACATTAATTCTTTAGAATGACTTCCTATACTATACACTGAACAGAGGAGTAAAGTTGCATAAGTGAACAGGTTTACGTACACCACTCATTAAACACACGGGCTTTAAGAACTATTTTAGGGCACTGGGGGAAAAACTGCAGGGATGTTTTGCCTTTGAAATGCTTTCCTTGGATGGGAACACTTGTAGTTTAACTTTCCTTCTGCAGAAATGAAAAAAAGTATTTTTTTTAAGTGCAGGAGAACAGGCAGGAAGGCTGTTCTGAATTGCTTTGATCCATAGGCAATCAAGTTAAAGGAATCCATTTCTTCACAGGAAAGAAAAGAATGAGAAGCACTGTGAGTTTTGATTAGCGATGTGTTGGGTCCAGGGCAGCCCAGAACTCAGGAAGGAGGACCACACAGCTATGCCACCAGGCGTGTCCGCCTCCCACCCAAGCGCCTGATGAAAGAGCTGCTCCGCTGGAAAGCAGCCGCACACGCACCAGGAGACCCTGGTCTTAGTTCACCTTTCAAATGCTCAGTGTAGGCTTCTTTTAAAACCTCGAAAAGTAAGTGGGGTTTTTTGTTGTTGTTCTTTAAAAAATATATGAAATGAACAAACAGATGAAATTAGAATGCTAAGCTCTTCACCGAATTACAATTCACCCTGACTAGCAATTTGCTGGACTGTTGTAAATTTTTTTTTTTTCTTAACTATGTTTTTTGAAAACCACTAATCGTTGCCTTCTCAGTCTGAAAATCGTCGTCTCCCTATGCTGTGGGTTTGGTGCCCGCGTGTTTCTTTCCTCTCGCACAAAGGCAGGCACGTGCGGCCCTGCGAGTGTCTGGAGGTGAGATCATGCGCTGAAGCCGACGTTCACGGCCACTCACACGGCATCCGAGCCCAGCTGATTCCTATGGAAAGACGACCACGTGCAGGGCAGAGCGCACGACCTCCCTCTGCTTTCCCTCTCACAGACTCTGCGTGTGCTCTGCTTCCCAGTACCCATGACTTTCTGGAACTGATCTTAGGTTGTAAGCATGGTGTGTGTGTTTCTGTCTAAAGGAGACAGAGAAATTACTCTGGAACCGAAAGCAAGGTGTCTTACCAATAGTTAGAATTTTCTAGTTCCAAAGGCATAGATGAGCTGATCCACAAGCAATTTGTATTGACACAAAGAAAGTTGTAGAATTTAGTTTTTGCTGCTGTCTCTCACTTTTTGCCCAATCCCCTTTGTTTACCAGCAAAATTTTCTTTTCTAGTGACTGTGTCTCTGGTTGAAATGGTTCTGCACCTCCTTTTACTCAGTGACATGCTGTTCCACACTGTAGATCTTAAAAGGGTTCCTAATCTAACTGGTTTTCCTTACCTGGGCATGCGGCTTTAAATACTAGCTATACTGGGGTCTGGAGCGTGGCTGTGGAGGGGAAGGAGTGAGACGCTGCAAGAGTGACGACAACGTCCTCTGCCAACAGGAGGAGCGGTGAGGGTGGACCACCCAAGTCCCAGCTGGTCTGCTCAGCCCCCACCCCTCACCCCGACCCAGGGCTCCCGCCCCACCCGCCCCGAGAGAATCACTTAAAGACCGACTGAAAAGTGGGGCATTCGTGATTCTTCATCTTCTTCATGAAGGCTTTGAACTCCTTGTTTGTCTTGTCCCACTTGTGGATTGCCGTCAGCAAGTACTGGCTCTTCACCTTCCGGCCCAGGATGAGGAAATGGTGGCTGAGGTTGTCCAGCTGGTGGCAGGGGCAGTCGGCCCCGTTCTTCAGGTACAGGACAAGCTTCTTCAGCTCCTTCTTCTTGATGGGCCCCAACTTCAGGGGCTTCTTCTTCTTGGGGACAATCTTTTTGTCGCCATTTTCTTTTTTCACTTCTTTTATTTTCATCCTCAGTGCTAGAGATGGTGAGGGCAGGGAGGGGAAAGGAGAGAGGGGCAGAGAAAGCATTTTAGAACACAGCTTTTCACTTAAAACAATAACCCACATTTATGGCTGAAGAAGAGGATGAAAATGAAAGGCAAACAGTGAGTAAAAGGAGGAGGCAGCTCTATAGATAAGAACCAAGGTCTCCATTAATCTTTACGTACTGATTCTGCCCCCCAGTTTTGTGGTGTCTAACAGTTGCCATGGGGTGCCATGAGATTCTCGAATAAATCTTCAAAACCAAATCTTATTTCACTTTTTAAAACTCAGTGACTCAGAATATCAGACAATGCTTTAAGAAGGGGTTCATAGAATCCAATGGAGTCCATATAATCTAATGCTATAGACCTCAGCACTCAAAGAAAACACTTACCCTGAGTTTTTTTTTTTTTTAAAGAGAAAGTTATTGGCTTAGTTTTTTAACATCCAAACGACCTAAAATTCCTTGGAAGTTGGGTCCTGTAAACAAGACAGGCAGAACGTATGTGTGCACACTCGGCAAGCGCAAGTTAAAGGGCACTTCAAATTGTCATGCTTCTCAAACATGAGCATCCAACTTCAGTCCTGGAGAAATCAGAGTCCTGACCACTGTGCCTCTAGAGAGTTTTGACAGCAGGTACTGCTCATTTCTGTCAACCACTCATCAACCACTAACGGGTGCCACTAGTGTTCTAGCCCCTGAGTAGACCCATACAGAACCAAACTCGACTTTGACTTCTTGACAGATTAGAGCAAGTCCTGGTGAAGTCCTGATAGATAAACCCAGGTGCTGATCTCTCCTCAAGTCTAATATGGTACCTGGGCTTCTGTCCTCAGCGCAAGTCCCTGCAGAAAGGGAAAAACAGCCGTCCACCAACTCCGCCTTCTCTTTTCTTTGTCTCTACAGACCCTGAGTTAACATTATTTTTTAACATGTTGACCAGATACTTTAATGATGGCTACGACAGAGTCTACTGATGAAGATAAATTAGTGTGGACGCATTCTGTAAGCCATAAACCCACTAAACACCTGGTGTCATTGTTACAATCAATTCCCCTCTAAGACGGGCCAGCCCCAGATATTTCCAAAGGAGTTGGAAATCATTTTCTAGATGCTAGTCACCAAATAATTTGTACATCCTCTGAATTCAAAATTACCAAGCCCTAAAGCTGCCACCCACGCTCCCTGAGGAAAGGCTTGAATCTGAACTAAACAGCAGTAGCTAACAATTATGAAAGCATAGGGCATGCCAGGAAGCATGCTGAGGATTTTTCATGCATTTCCTCAATTAAATCTAACAACTCTATGAAGAAGGGACCGTTATTTTCCCCATTTAACAGATGAGAAAGCTGAGGCATAAGGGGTTAAGTTTACTTGCCCAAAGTCACTAATCCTAGTTAACCCATGTCTGAACGTGCACTTTTAGTCGCCGTGCTGTCCCTGCTGACTCTATGGTTGCAAAATTCTTTAAAATGAACCCAAAAGTGAGAGTACCGATTAAATAGACCAAGAAAATAAGGGGGAGGAGCCAACTGTCTTCCTAGTTTCACCCACATTTCAAAATGACTTTACTTATGAAACGGTGAAAGAGTTCCTTCTGGTTGAGACAGACTACTCTGGCAAAGGAAAAACTGCATTTGTGAAGGCTTTATTATTTAATATTTAGTTGATCAGAAAACACACCCTTGGCCAACCCAAGAATAAGGAGGAGGGGGAAGAAATCCTAGGAACAAATCTTTAATGAATGTGTCAAAGTCAGTAAATTAAACACACCCCCACTGCTTTCTTTTTCTTGCAAAGAGTTCCAGACCTTGCAGCCTACTTAACCCCATATAATACCCTAGGCGTGGTACCCCTTAGGAAATGCCTCACTCCCAAGAGTGGCAGAAGGTTCAGGACTGGGCACTAAGCAGCAGAATGCTCTCGCTGAGGATTAACACTGACCTCTCAGGTTGGTCCAGGATTCCCGGCACACATGGCAGTGGGCTGAGCACAGCTTTCCAAGGAGTTCCTTTCATTACCTCTCCCTCTACTCCAAAGCAGCCATTGCTCAGCGCTCCTGACTGTGCTTGACTCCCACCTCCACTGTGGACAGAGCACAGTGGGAACAGCAGGTGGGAGCGCAGCGAATAGAAAGCAGCAGAGACCACCCCTCCAGGACCTCACCTCAGACACGCCCCAACAGGCCCACACCTGGTTTAGCTTCCCTTGTTGGCTTACAGCCTTGCACCTGGGGTTCACTTGAGAAAAGACTTCAGCTGTTCTAGTCTGTGGCTCACTAAAGAGAAAGTTCTCAGTGGGCTTGAATGAGGGACCAGCAAGAGGAGACTCACTGCCCAGGCCTAGACCAAGTCAGGTCTCCATTCCTGCCTCCCTTCTGCAAAACAGAGCACATGGGACTAGGAGGAACCACTTATCAAAGAAAGGCAACTAAGAGTACTGCAAGGAGGCAAGGCAGGAAGGACAACCCTGCTCCTTCCACAAGACCCTCCAAGAAGTGGCCCCACAGTGTAAGACGAGTCCCAAACTACTTCCCAAAGTCCAAGGCTGGGAACCAAGTGTTGCTATGGGAGCGACCGTCTACATCACCAGGAGAGACGAACATGCCCCAGCTGACAACGTGAGCACACTCTTTTCTGCAGAGAACTGAGCCATCATTTTTTGAGTCCCCACCATGTGCTGGGCTCTGCATATGAGCACAGGATAGGTGCTCACACATGGCTCCTGATTTAATGCCTGCAGCAATCACATTAAGAAGGCATCGTTACTATTTATTATAATCAAGGAGAAGGGCTCAGGTTAAGCAATGACAACATGAGGCCAGTTTGTAAGAGACAGAATCTGGATTGGAACCCACACCTAACCCCACAGAGCGTGTCCTACTGTACCATGACTGGGTTTAAAATGATATTGCTTCAGTGGAAACTATTTCACTCTTTTGATTGTATTGCTTTTAATCACAAGTCAAATCAAAAATTAATGTTCCTTTGCCATGACCGTGTAAGGAATTTAGTTTGCACAGGCGGAGGGACAGCGAGGGGAGAGGGAAAATCAAATGGTGAAAATCTGTTATGCATTAGACTCTTTACTTCTTGCCATTTGGCTCCTTTTCTTTTTTGAGGTAGGGAGAATAAGGAAGGAGGAGGCACATATGGCCAGAAATGACTAACATCCTTCCACCTTTCAAGGGTTTATTTTAGGGGTGCAGATTACCAACAATGTTTGGATAGGCGATTAGCCGTCCGAGGTCAATTTCCTCGTGTCTGTAGAAACGTGTGCCACACCCCCACCACGCCACACCCAGGGGCTGCTGGGACAGTGGTGGGTGCCAGCCAGGAGTAGCCTGGGACTGATCACCACTTCCTCTCTCCCATCCAGCCCCCACCATGCTGACAGTGCCTGGACCCCGGGGATTTCACCCATGGACTGTGTTCACAGTTGCAATGCAAATGGTGGTGGTGGGCAGGGCGGAGAAGCCCCAGGAGGCAGCAGCCAGGGCAATAGCTGAGGTGCTGGACAGAGTACCGGGTCCTGGGTTCTCACTGTGTGACCACAAAATCTGGTTTTGAGGTCCCCAAATCTCAGCTTTCCACCTGTCAAGTGTAGAGTGCAGTCTGTCTGCTGGCCTGGCAGTACTACCATCCAGAGGTCCCATGCTGGGCAATACTGGGGAGCCAGCCAAGCTCATCTCCAGCACTAGCCTGATCCTGTGTTCACTCCCTTCCCTCATCGTGTGCCCTTCTCACCCTGGGAGATGATGCTACAACTGCCTCAGTCCCTTGATCTCAGCTACAGTGACAGGGGACCCCAAAGTAAAACAAAACAAAAGAAAACAAAAACAAACAAAACACTTCTTTGTTTTTCTTTAGCAACAACTTAACATCCTCCAAGAGTAGAATATTACTCCCAACTCTCACCTTGCTAGTCAGCAAGAATGCAGAGACCCAGAAACTTTGAAAACCCAAAACTTCAGGTGCCATTAGGGGCTGTCTTGGTCTTTCTCAGCAATCTTAAAGTAAATACTCCCTTATATTCAGGTAGACCCTTAAAGTTTCCTTCCACGTTCAGTAACCTGAACCATATTTTTCACTCAGAAATTACACTTCCTTGGTAGCCTCCCCACAAGGCTTGGCCATATTTCTGAGGCTGAAATGAGAATAGGAAAGTTGTTACACTTATCCCAAACCCACATGCTCTTCAAAACCATCTCTTCCTCCTGACCTGCTTCTACGAATGGTGCCACCATTCTTCCAACTACCCGGACAGGTGCTTGGATGTGAGGCAACCATCGGCCAAGGGCCAGTCATTCATACAACGAATAACGTGGAGCTGCTGCAGGAATGCGAGGAGAACCTGATGGCGGAGGCGGAGTGGGGCTAATCAGATGAGTCACAATCTGATTACAGATAATAGTTACAGTGAAGAGTAAAGTACAGAGAAAAGAAGAGAATGAGGGACCCCAAGGAGCACCTTCCCTGGGGAGAGGGGAAGAAGATTTATCGTAAAAGTCATCAGAGACACAGATGCAAAACCAGGCAGCCAAGTGTCTCAGGAAGCCCAGGACAGAGGTGTTTCAAATGGAGGAAGTGCTCCTAAGTCCCCAGGGCTGCAGAGTTTGAGAATGAGTGTGAGACGAGATCACTGGACTTGGCGACTAGGGGATCACTCATGACCTGCGGGAGAGCAGGATCCAAAGAGGCGAGTGGGCATGGGAGGTGAAAAGACAAGGTATGCCCTACTGACAACCACCAAGTTTCTGGAATGCTTGTGAAGTTACCACTGGCCACTTCTAGCCAAATGTATTCGAGTGAGCACACACAATCATTTCTACTCCTTTCTGAAGTCAGTTTAAAATTATAGCAAAAAAGAGAAGTTATAAACATATGCAAGAAAACAAGAACATACCAACATTTAGCATAATAGGAAGCAAATGATGGTGGAAGCTGGCTTGACAGGGAGAAGAAAAGCTAACCCCTGGCTGCTGACACATAG